CTTTCTCGTTTCCAAATGAGAACAAAGCAAAAAAACAACGGGACTAACAGGTATACTAACGAGTATCGAACACGTACAACTTCAAATCGCACAAGAAAATATATTTTACCCTGTCTGATCGTCATAACGACCGTGAAACGTCTCCATCATGATAATCAACATCTTTCTTTGTTTTTTCATCTTTTGGCCTTGTTTCATTTGAGTCCGACTTAAGATTCTGACCATATTTTCCTTTTTGTTTTGTGGAAAGCTGATAAATCACCACTGACACGTGCATTAAAATCCTGTTGATTACAGTCTGTAAATCAATGTCTTTACTTAATAACTGTACAGCACATTTACTCTAGAGATATTATAAATCTTATTATTAATTTTATCCGCATGACAATGCTAATCCCTTTTATAAATAGATATACCAATTCTATTGGTGAATTTAGCAATACATTAGTTATAGTGTCCCTGAGTCAATCAGGTCGGGATATCGATATATTTCACCTGATTTCTAAAAATAGTTTGATGATGTGATAATCTAATTTAAAAATAAAACTTTAACTTGACCTTCGACCTGATTATGACAGATGTCGATAACCAGTCCTGTTCACTCACACACACAGGTGAGTAAAACTATATAGATATCTTTGTGTTAAATACAATGGGATTCAACACAGCTATCGTACACAGCTTTCGGCTATAACATGGACTAGTACACATGGCTAACTCTATAACAGGATTAAATCTATTGAATTGCACCAAAATTAGGGGGTTTCACCTTTCTTGTGTCCAGTGGAACAGACTAATCATTACACGTGTTTGTGTGTCGATGTATGACCATGTTTCGCGGGTTCTTTCCTGCAATTATTTCCCAGATAAGAAAGGGTTTTATCACTGGGAGTGTAATAAGTACCACACAATTACATAGATAAAACATCACACCGGCCTAAGATAGGGCCATTCCTTACGTATATACATTATACATTATAAATTACGCTGTTAAGTCTGAATAAAGGTTTACTTCATCTACATCTCCATTTGGCTGATCCATCTAATTGTATACATGTATGTACTAACTCATTCCGGGATACAAGAGAAAGGGGGTCTGGCAAGCCTCAGAAACATCAAGTACATTTCAATCGTCATCAATTATTTCACATATACAAGAGCATTTTTTTCAACAGGTCCAAATCGTCCAAATTTAGTCTACATTTTAGAATAATCTAAGATCAGATATTTTTGTGGGGCTCAATTTCCGTATTTTTTTAAATGGACACTTGATTTCGTAAATGACACAGTTCATTATATTTACTAAATAATAAATTTAATAGTTCGTTGACATAAATTCTGGAATTTACATTAACCACGAAATCCATGAAAATAAATTTTCCGTGAAAATCAATTATTTTACATTGTTACACCTTAAACTTTGCTTATTTACATTTTGATAAATTCACATCGATTACGTCCCAATTCAGTAAGTCTGCATTTTATATCGTTTTTTACCGACTGAAGTTTCGACAGTTACAAATTACCGTACATTCTAGGCGGACAAACGACTTCTTTTAATAATAGATAACTTATTCATAAAACATTAACATCTTAGGGATATGATATACAAAAATCCAAAATCCCTGAATGATTGGCACCTGGTATGTTTTAAATCATTCTTATAATCGTAAGACATTACCAGGTTCGTCATTATTTTATTTTAGGGGATTCGTGTCATTGATATGGTATTAGTGTGCGATTTAAATTCACATTTTCTGGAATTAAGAGACGCGGGGCGCCCTCTATCAGATAATTAGTTCCGTGTATAGACTTGTTTCCGGATCAGAGTTGTGGCCTTGTAAATATCCATCAATCTGTCGAATCCATTGACTCTCCTATTTGTAGCGTCTGTCAGAATTAACCGGGTTTTACAAACCGGAACTCTTTTATCCTACTTAGAAATTAGAATTTTCTGTAAGAGTGAACTAAAACCAATGTATATCGAGGGTAATTATAGAGCGAATGAATGTAATACTACATGATATTTGTTGATAAGAAATTGTACAAACACAAATATATAAAATAGATAGGCACAATTTAAACAAACACTGAAAATATTGACTTTTACGTTGATTATGCTGTTCACTTCTTCAGAGAAGAAACGTATTAAGTTTATAATGCTAGCTGATTTTCTATCCCACAGGAACAGTATTATTTTATGAAGTTTGAAATTCCAATGATATTTTATAAATATCTTTTTTGATATTAGAAATCCTAACTATATTTCAATTAAATTCATTCCCAACAAAATATCAGAAAGATGCCTAACGAGCTGTTTTCTGAATAAATTGTATCCTACATCACCCTTAACTAAATCAGTGAATATATCACAACAGGTGGGTCTATCTTTACAACTGTTTTGTTAATAAATCATATTATCCACACAGTGGCCAAACTCTAGACGCGTTTTGATTGGCTGTCAGGGGCTATCTTTTATTAACCCTATCTTCGTGCTCGTGGACATTATCATGCCGAACGCTCGCAGAGTGAGAAATGAAACGTGTTTGAATTCACTTCTTTTTCTGTTTGGATTGTTTTTTTTTTTTTTTTTTTTATTTTATTTTAATTGTTCCGTGAATAGCCAGTTCTTTTTTGAGAAGGGACTCCTTTTGGAGTGAAGTTTCCTATCCAAAACCACAACCACGGCAGCATTGACAAGTTCATTTCTCAGCCTTAGTAGCAACACAAACCGCCACCGGTATGGAACCTTGTGTTAACGCCAGATTAATAGTGGCGAATTTTGACATAAACACCGACAACACTGATATCTTTTCTCCATCCGTATAAAAATGATAATAAAAAACATCCAAGAGTTATTTAATCCAGCGACAGTTGCAATGAATATTACTGTGAATGAATGGACAATTTGGCATGAAGGAAGCTTCGTGCAATCGCGGAAATCTAAACACACAAAAAGTAGTTCGCGATTGTTTTTTGAACAATTGATTTTTTATGTGCATTTCTATCAATTTATTACTTTCAATCCGTGAATGACCTGCTTTAATTTGTTATAAGAACGGTAACTCTGGATAGAGATTGATAAGACACAAATGGATACCAGAACAGGTTGATTCAACTTCGGAATAGCCTTCTTTTGTGGTAGAAAAAGGTTACACAAGATAAAGGTCACAAACACATGAGCTACTCGCTAATCTCCCTCCTCGCATCCCCCCTCCCCAAACCCCTGAGTGAAAGAAATACCATATACAACAACCACTTGTGTTAGCTCTATTTATATATATCATAGTAACTTTGACATGGTTAGCTTATGTATAGTACTGTATTGAAATACATACTGCGTGTAATCTACAAAGATTTCACTTGCTGTGAAGTAGAATTTGATATGAAAGATTTATACATGTCTACACATAAAACGATCTGACTACACTTAAAATCAGATTACAGATTACATTGATGGGTCAGATATGACAACTTAAGAAAGTACATGTACACTTAATGTACCGGTGTAGATTCCATAATTACGTTACGTTAGCTTCTCATATTCATAATTAAATAGTGTAGATACTTATACAATTAACATATATATGAATACATACATGTAAGTACATATGTATACTGTAAGCGACAAGGATAGTAGTTAAAATGTACTTGGAATTATAGTTCTACACCTTAAATGCCATACAGATGTTTCTATACATACTTAGATCATAACATTATCATCCAGTCTTTTATTAGATAACAGTCGATATTTCGTTACTTTTTTTAAAATTTCAGATTCATTGGTAGAATAAAGGAGCGTTTGGGGTCACCTGCTCGACCACGTCGGTTTCCCCCCGTGTACTTCGGTTTCCTTACACAGTTAGACCCCTCACTTCTGTCTGGGTCATCAAGAGTGATTAGTATATGTTGAAACAGCCTGTTTCGAAAGTGTTAAAAATAAACAAGATATGGACCACAAATGGATGATTTAGGACGTATTCTGTATGTATAATCGTCCTCGACAGCACCAAACATGTTAATATTGGTAAACTAATTAAGTAATGTCATGTTTTCAAAGGAGACCAGTGTCAAAAATAGCGAAACCACCAACCACTATGAGAATGTTTTTGATATGTAACATATCTTATTACGGAATGAAGTCTATTCATTATTCATTATTTTTAAAATATTATGTTGTCCTGTCATTCTTTGGTATGGATATCTACAATGAATGTCTGATGAAAGATTGAACTTAAGACACACAAGGGAATATCGTCTTTAACTACCAGTTTAGAATTAGATACAGCATAGCCAAATAACGAATTAAAATGCATCATACAGCTTATTCGTCTTTCTAGGACTAGTCAGTGATGCTTACGGCCTAAACTTTGAAACCTAGGATGCAAATGAGGACAACCAAAACATCGTTCGATAGAAATCTAGATGGGATGGTGCAACAACCAATGTATTACAGTAACATCGATCACTGTGCTTTATCGTTTAATGAATGATACTTATCCTTGTAAGACATCAATGATTGTTTAGGTTGATGAAACAGAGCGTAAGTAACACAAAGCTGGTTATGGTTATTCTTCCCGAGAGGAAACAACAATATATCTTCAGCAAGTTTGGCAGACAATAAACAATTCAAACTACATTATCCAACAGACGGAGAAATTTGGTTCTGCGTAAGAATATTACATGTGTGGTGTGCCTCAGACTGTACACACCCTTTGGGAAGTGACATGCACGCATTATCGTGATAAAACACGATATGTACATCTACAAATCTGGTAAGATACGCAACAGCCGAAAACGGAGCCAAGAAAATCACTCTAAATTCAATGGTCTGTCAAGCTTATTAAATAAATGTAAAAATACTTACTGACATGGTTTGTTATGGTCTATGTCGTGATGATAATATTTTATAAATATACCGCTATATTATTACTTACATCATTTCAAAGTTCACCTAATGTGTGATGAAACACATTTATGTACACTGAACTATGAGCAGGCTATATACAAAGTAGTATAACTGCTTCTAGACGGCACTCTCCTACTGGTCTTCCCATCTCTACTACTGGTCTTTCCATCTCTACTACTGCTCTTTCCATCTCTACTACTGGTCTTTCCATCTCTCCTGCTAGTCTTCCCATCTCTCCTACTGCTCTTTCCATCTCTCCTACTGCTCTTTCCATCTCTCCTACTGCTCTTTCCATCTCTCCTACTAGTCTTTCCATCTCTCCTACTGCTCTTTCCATCTCTCCTGCTAGTCTTTCCATCTCTCCTGCTGGTCTTTCCATCTCTCCTACTGCTCTTTCCATCTCTCCTACTGCTCTTTCCATCTCTCCTGCTAGTCTTTCCATCTCTCCTACTGCTCTTTCCATCTCTCCTACTGCTCTTTCCATCTCTCCTGCTAGTCTTTCCATCTCTCCTACTGCTCTTTCCATCTCTCCTGCTGGTCTTTCCATCTCTCCTACTGCTCTTTCCATCTCTCCTGCTAGTCCTTCCATCTCTCCTACTGCTCTTTCCATCTCTCCTACTGCTCTTTCCATCTCTCCTACTGCTCTTTCCATCTCTCCTGCTGGTCTTTCCATCTCTCCTTCGGCTCTTTCCATCTCTCCTACTGCTCTTTCCATCTCTCCTACTGGTCTTTCCATCTCTCCTGCTAGTCTTTCCATCTCTCCTACTGGTCTTTCCATCTCTCCTGCTGCTCTTTCCATCTCTCCTACTGCTCTTTCCATCTCTCCTACTGCTCTTTCCATCTCTCCTACTGGTCTTTCCATCTCTCCTGCTAGTCTTTCCATCTCTCCTACTGCTCTTTCCATCTCTCCTGCTAGTCTTTCCATCTCTCCTACTGCTCTTTCCATCTCTCCTACTGCTCTTTCCATCTTTCCTTCTGCTCTTTCCATCTCTCCTACTGCTCTTTCCATCTCTCCTTCTGCTCTTTCCATCTCTCCTACTGCTCTTTCCATCTCTCCTACTGCTCTTTCCATCTCTCCTTCTGCTCTTTCCATCTCTCCTAATGGTAATTCCACATCACAACAAATACCAAGCAAATCCCATAAAACTAATGAAAGTAAAAACAGTTCGATGAAGTATGAAAAGCAATGGAAACACAGTTTCTTTCGAAATAAGCGACAACAGAAGTACACGTGACAAAAATAAATAATGGAAACAAAGAAAACCACAAAACAAAACGAGGAAACAACATGAATCGAAGATACGTCAAAACAGTAACCTAGGAGACATTGTAACAAATTGAACACAAGGCAGGGAGAGATAACTGAGAAGATACTATATACTTGTTTTAATAACCCTTATTGGGATAAACATCTTACACACCGTAATACTGTTGATTTAGATGTGATTCACTTCTGGTAATGGATAAACAGGACATCTCCCAACACGTTTATATCAACACTGGAATCACCAGTACGACCTGTTGGCTACATAAGGATTACAGGTAGATATACTGTATATATATGACTGCAATGCGTAGTACTGTAATTACAAGCAAACAGAACTCGATTACATATCCCCCGACCTGGGATACGAGATTCTTCAGGTTCTATTAAAGGGGTGATTCGTCTTTTGTTAATCTTCGATCGATGAACTTTTATCACTGATTTAAACACAGGGACGTTACGAAGAGTCCTAGCTTGGTTAATAAGACTCTCGTGACGCCTTTTTGACCCGACTTTGTTTATTATGCTTCGTGCCCGTAAGGACTCTACTTTACCTACGTATATTTACCATTATGACACTTTAATTTCTTCTTCCAATACCCTTACAGGCATTCAGTCAGTCCACGCGCCTCTGTTTTGCGGTATGTAATTGGTTCACAAAGTTTTTAGATTCATCATTCCAACAATAACGTCCTTTTTAATCATTATTTCATTCGTAAAGCCCACACAAAATAATGGAGCTTCGGCTCAAAGTAACAGCTAAGACACGGAAATCAGCTTTTAAGAGTAAAAGAAAGATATTTACGAAAATTAACTCGATTTTCAAAAGCTTGCTTTATGACTGACACGGATATAATTTGCTGTACACACACTATGACGCATATCTCGTATTGCAACAGGGAACTCCCGTTGTTTACGTTAGCTGAAGCGATGTGATGAAACGTGCGCGGATTTATCTTAAACTCCACAGTGCAAACAATCATCATACCCCACACGTATTTCATATTTCAGCGTAAATGAATGTTTTTATAAGATCTCATCGATGAATGTATATTCTTTTTTGTAGATTTTATTTACATCATTCTGAGAGGATAGATACCAACAGATTGGTCTTGTCGCCCACATATCACTTATCACTGATTGTTTTATGATTAAAAGGGAGAAAACTGTTGGATCTTTGACAACGCTGTCAAACGTTTTGGTGATACATATCGTAGACAGAAATCAAGGTGGTATACTATACCAATAACACTGTAAACATCGGAAACAAAGAAAATAGCTTAAACACTTACCGATATAAATTTATCTGAATGCTGGACAATAAATTCATGTTTACTTAACAATAAAGGTGACTCAGTTCAACGAATATTTCAAAAAATTTAATAAAATTAGTTTTCATCCGTCAGTTTATGCAGGGTTCTGTACTCATTCTTCAAAGGAAATTGATTCTGACCTGACTCGGGGATACGCATTGCACGTGAATGTAACATTATATTGCATGTACGATTTCTCTTCAATGCTTAAACACAATAATATTTTAATATTCGAATAGGACCAAAGCGAATCACTGACTGATGCTAGGAGGCACGATAGACAAACATTTTTACTATTGTACTATATACCGTGACGTAATTATAATGAGGTACAATCTGACAATCCCTGAATCTTATCTACCAAACAAACATTTGATACATTATCAACTGTAATGTTTTAAGGATAGGCTGGTGTCACTATCGTAAATAACTTCAAAGTCAAGCAAAATGATTATCTTTATCGTTAAATATCTATAAAAACAAAGGCCAACTTGGTATTAAAATATTACTATATTTTTATGGTCCCTTGTGAAATCATTCTAATGTAAAAATCAGTTTATGGAACAATTAGATGTTGACTTACCACAGATTCTGGTTTACAATGTACGTTACTCTTGGGATGCTGACGAGGTAAATACTGTAGCTAACATATTCCTCAAATAGTCTCTACTCACTGCTGTGGTCAGTCCGATGAGACTAATTAGTTATGACAGGCTATGAGTAGGTAATAATTAAATGTACTAACGACGATGTCATTTGAGCAGCATGTACAACGGTTTCTTGATGTCTGTCCGTCTGACAGCATTTTAACGACCATAGCAAATTATACAAGATTTTTCATGTTATCGATTTCTGTTTCAAAGTATTGTGATATCCAGAATGTGTATGGACGGGTGTATCCTTGGGCAGTGTGTTAGTTGGTCATAACGTCTTGAAAATAGCTCCATATGTGCGAGGAACAATACAAAAAGGTACATGTCGACAATCACTGAAATTTCAAAAGCAACAACTTAGCGTTGCATGTTGTGTTTATTGATAGAGGTTAGCGTGCGAGTTGAGGTATAGAACTGATGTTTTCAATTACTCGATTTCATCAAGTTGATCATCAGCAAGTTATCGTGCTCAATGCACATGCTTAACAAAGCATAGACATAATCCAGATAGGGAGCTTCTAAATTCAAACTTAAGATGTTTTCAAGTAATTGAATTCGATTGAGGTTTCCATGCAGCCTTGTTCGTTACGTGACAGAAACCATACCCTGTCCTTGGCTTTCTGGTGAGATCAGTTTGATAGACTGCCAGACTATCTGCTTTATCGTACATACAGGTACATGAATAAAGAAACACTCACCTGTTGTTAAGGTCAACACAAATGTCGGTTCACAAACTCCTATTTATAAATCCCAAAGACGAGTACGTGTAGAAAGAGTGGTTGTTCTTGTCCGGTATCAACACCACTCACTTCCTGTCCTAGGTAACAAGCATAGTACGGACCTCACACGTGTTTCACCTAAATAATTATCGTGTAATTGAAAAGAAAAGGTATTGCACTGTGCGAGTCCTACACAGGCACTACATCGCAGGCTTGAGTGACATAAAGTCTTATATTACTCCTGACACAACAGCCAATAATAGTACGAATTGTGTTCTTAATCTTGTCATGGCTATCAGGCACATCAGTGCTCTAATTATCTAACACTCCGGAGTAAGACGTGCGCTCAACTGTGGCGAGTCCCCTTAAACGTGACAGAGTTTGATAATTTCTTTGTTTAGCTTCACACTTGAAAATGAAGTTTCAATTATTGATATTTTTATTCTTAACATCGTGACATAAAATAAATAGTTTCGAACCGTTTGTCATTCATTGTATCTGTTAAATCGTACAAGAGATGTATAGCAACGCTGTTGTCACAGATGTTTATATAATTCAAAACTAAATAAGAAATTTCTTACAATAGTTGTAAGCTAACAGTTCGTCCGTGATATTAAAGTATACTCAGACATTCCGATCGTTTACTATTTCATTGTACTAGCATTAAGGTAGACCGCGCTCGTCCACGCTCGTTTCAAGGACGTTAACACACACAAAAGGCTCACGTCGAACGATTTCTCTGTAATGAAAACACGAGTATACATTACACAAAACCATACACATACTACTTAATAACTAATCCGGCATTTCAAATTTAAGGCGAATAATAATTAGATACACTTTTTCATGTCATGAAAAGAATAAATCTCTTTAAACACTTCGTATTAAAATTATCCTGGAGGATGCCGTGTTCGAGAATTGTTTTACGAATGCATCGTTAAGTCAAATTGGTAGTCAATTCACGGCTGTTTTGGTGTATGGGTCATAGGTCAATCACAGGCCTGGTTTAGTGTATGGGTCATAAGGTCAAAGTAACAGGCAACTTTAGTGTCCGGGTTATAGGTCAATTAGATTACAGTTTTAATCCATGGACTATACGGTCAACTGAGAGGGCAGTTTTAGTGTATGGGTCATAAGGTCAACTTAGAGGATAGTTTCAGTGTATGTGTCATAAGGTCAACTTAGAGGATAGTTTCAATGTATGGGTCATAAGGTCAACTTAGAGGATAGTTTCAATGTATGGGTCATAAGGTCAACTTAGAGGATAGTTTCAGTGTATGGGTCATAAGTTCAACTTAGAGGATAGTTTCAATGTATGGATTATAAGGTCAACTTAGAGGATAGTTTCAGTGTATGGGTCATAAGTTCAACTTAGAGGATAGTTTCAATGTATGGGTCATAAGTTCAACTTAGAGGATAGTTTCAGTGTATGGGTCATAAGGTCAACTTAGAGGATAGTTTCAGTGTATGGGTCATAAGTTCAACTTAGATGATAGTTTCAATGTATGGGTCATAAGGTCAACTTAGAGGATAGTTTCAGTGTATGGGTTATAAGTTCAACTTAGAGGATAGTTTCAATGTATGGGTCATAAGTTCAACTTAGAGGATAGTTTCAGTGTATGGGTCATAAGTTCAACTTAGAGGATAGTTTCAGTGTATGTGTCATAAGGTCAACTTAGAGGATAGTTTCAGTGTATGGATCATAAGTTCAACTTAGAGGATAGTTTCAATGTATGGGTCATAAGGTCAACTTAGAGGATAGTTTCAGTGTATGTGTCATAAGGTCAACTTAGAGGATAGTTTCAGTGTATGGGTCATAAGTTCAACTTAGATGATAGTTTCAATGTATGGGTCATAAGGTCAACTTAGAGGATAGTTTCAGTGTTTCAGTGTATGGGTCATAAGTTCAACTTAGAGGATAGTTTCAATGTATGTCATAAGGTCAACTTAGAGGATCAATGGGTCATAAGTTCAACTTAGAGGATAGTTTCAATGTATGGGTCATAAGTTCAACTTAGAGGATAGTTTCAGTGTATGGGTCATAAGGTCAACTTAGAGGATAGTTTCAGTGTATGGGTCATAAGTTCAACTTAGATCAACTTAGAGGATAGTTTCAGTGTATGGGTCATAAGTTCAACTTAGAG